ATCTCAGTACCTTTTACCGTTGGCTTTAATCCTCTCTGTACACTTGGTACCTGGCACCTCTGGTGGTCGTTCTGGATGTCCATCTCTCCTTTCTTGGGTATCCCCCTCAATGTGGATCACTGGCACATCCCTCGGGGCTCTTAAACGGGGTGTACTGCTGTCACCTGGCCCTGGTATAAACCCTGTTTGTTCTTGACTTGATCTACCCCAACTACAGTTAAAATGGGATTGTTTGAATCCCCTCCTTCTCTCACCAACAGGCATGTGTAAGTGTGGCCCATTTGTGCTTCCAGGAACCTCTCGCTGATCTCCAGCAGATGATTTGCCAATATCTACAATATCAGCTGCCAGGCGGTTAGCAAATTGCTCTATGTGTGGCTGAGGGTCTGCTGCAGCCTCCAGGTCGATACTGTCCTCTGGATCAACAATGATCTTGTTCTTCCGCATCAATGACTCAATAGAACTGGACCAGGTATCGTGGATCAGCATGTCAGTGATCTGGTCAGTCTTGCCTCTTTGATAGAGACATGAGTCTGATTTGCACAGTCCTGTTGCTGCCACTGAGTTGCGGGGGTAGATATTCAGGGTATCTCCATGAACATTTTGGGCAAACCCATCAAATGAATTGGCTTTAATGGGTGAGTTAACGGTCAGTCTTGAATCTGAGGAACGCCTGTCTGGGACTGATGACTGTCGTATGCAAAAGGGACTCCGGGGGGATGGCGGGAACAAGCTATTGCTCCACTCTTTAGTCTTGGCAATGCCGTGCTCTTTGTTTTCCTTGTCCATGTCCCGGAGCATAAACCTGTAGAACTCCTCTGTGATGCTCTCAGTGCTGGATTGTTTGGACAGGCAGGATGTCGTCCTGACATTAAGGTGACCATTTTTCTTGGATGCAGCCTGTTGCACAGCTGCCGCCAGGATGCTGCTGGCATTTTTCCCTGCGTAGTAGTCCAGAAGAAGGTCAAAGCCTCTGCCCTCAGTCTCCATCTGGTTGACCATGAACCGTGAAAATTCATCTGTGATACTCTCACAACTTGACTGCTTGGAAATAGAGCTACCGCGACTCAGGTTCTGGCCTAAACGACTACCGGGGCCTAGGGTATTTGGTGTACCCGAGGGGTCTCCGTCTTCCTCTGGAATGCTTTCATAACTCGAGGCCTTCCCACGGCTCCACCTCTCACACTGCAATCTGCTACGTGGCTGGCTTGTTTTGGATGTGTCCACCACATTAAGCTCAGGGCAGTTCATGATCCTGGCTGTGACTTCCGAGGCAAATAGGGCAAATGGGTCCTGCGATTCATCAAGGTTGACCGACTCATCAACCACGCGGTTCACCAGGCGCTCCATCAACTCTGGCTGCTCCTCTGTTTTCTTTTTAATCTCACTGAGGCGTGGTGCTCGATGTTTCTTGGAGGTGACATTGTTGCTCTGACTCTCTTTCCTTCTGAATACTGTTCGGCAAGCCGGGATAAAGAAAGCCTCTGGGCCCTCCGCTGATGTCCCTTTGAGGGCACAGAACCAGGGTTGCTTCCCGGTTGAATTTTCAAGATATATAGCAGCTAGTTCTGTGGCCATAGACACCACTGTAGCAGCCAAATCATCAGCATAGCAGGTAATGGGTGTCCTGCTCTCTGAGTCCATTCTCCAAGACAAAAGTGAACTGCAAGAGTTGAGTGAAGACTGTGGGGTGAGAGAAGACTGTCTGCTGTCATTTGCTGTCGCAAATCGGCCCCGCCTCTCTGTGCCATGAACTGGGATGTCACTCACAGGGACTCTGACAGCAGTTGTATCATGGTGGCCACACCAGTCTTTTGTATGTAGGGCAGACTTCAACTGACTTTGTGCACAGCATGAGTGCTGTGGTTGCTCTTTGCTGTAAGTCGTAAAGAGAGATGTATTGACATCGCTTTCTTCAAGCGCATTTGTGCTAATTCCAGGAACCATGGTAAGACTATCTGTGCTTTGACGCATTCCACTGTGTTTTTCAGTGTTAGCGGATTGCCTGAAACTTGCTAAACCCTGTAACTGACTTAATGAGTCATTATTTCCCTTTGTGGGAACACACTGCTTGGAACAAGTACCAAGGTCCTGTGTCTCAAATGTCCCTTTATCACTTCTTGAAATGTGACTAATCTTTTTTTGTGCCTGGCAAAGAATCTCAAACAGCAAATTGTTTACACTGTCTTGCAGAAGAACCTGGAGGTGTGGTGCATCTTTCCCAGTCCCCTCCAATTCTTTTTTCCTTTTGGCTTTTTCTAAAGCATGCTTAAAAAGACTGTCGGCCA